TCATGATCCTTCTGCCTCGCATCCCAAGCCACTGGGTTTACAGGCATGTACCACCATGCCTGGCAGCACCCCACTTCTTATAACTAATGTATTTGCAAGCCCAACGTAGTAATTGCAGTCTTGCCAGAGTGGTAGAGAATTAAATGGTGACCCAGGCTCTTTCATAGGCCATTTATGCGTGATCCCTTTTTTAGTTTTATTTTTACAGTACTGGACTTGAATTCAGGGCATTGCATATGCTAGGCAAGTACTCTATCAATGAAATAAAATCCCACCCCTTTTTAAAAATTTTATTTTGAGACAAGGTCTTGCTAAGTTGCCCAGGATGACCTAGAACTTGTAATCTTCTTACTTCAACTTCCAGAGTAGATGGGACTACAGGCATGTGCCACTTTGCCTGGCCATCTCTAATTTTTACACTATTCCTACTAAGTAGGCCTTAATATCACCAATGTGCCTCTTATGTTTAGATATGAGGTGTTCCTCCAAAGCTCATGTGTGAGACAATGCAAGAAAGTTTAGAGGTGAAATGATTGGGTTATGAGAGCCTTAACCTAATCAGGGCATTAATTCACTTTCATGAATTAAGTAGGTGGTAACTATAGGCAGATAGGGTGTAGCTGGAGGAAGTGGGTCACTGGTGGCATGCCTTTGGGGTTTATATTTTGTCCCTGGTGAGTGGAGTCTCTGCTTGCTTACTGTGTTCTTCTGCTACACTCTTCCACTGTGATGTTCTGCCTCACCTTGGGACCAGAGCAGTAACTGAGATGTCTGAAACCGTGAGCACCTGATGAACTTTTCCTCCTTTATGTTGTTCTTGTTGGGTCTTTTGGTTATAGCAATGAAAAAGCTGACTAAAACAGTGCTTGTGAGGAATATGAGGTTTAGAGACCCAGAGATATTAAGCTGCCCTAGAAAATATAGGTAAGTCCTTTTCATCTCTCATATGCAGTTCACTCTTGTTACGATGAATTAGATCATAACATATCTTCCATTAGCTACATTTTATGATCCTAAAATAGATTTGGGATGTGACCCAGTGCTTTGATGAGATCTGGGACACACATTAGCAAATTGTCATTGGCATTAAACACCCCCCCCACACACACACACACACAAATCCAGTTTCAGAAGTTCTAGGCCTGTTTTGGGAGTTTGGCCCATCATTCCCATTCCTACAGGCTGGCTCTCCCATGACATGTCAAGTTATTAACTGAAACCAGAGCCTGTAAGCAGAGAAACAAGCTAGTGCAAATTAGGTTCTGGAAGGGGCCTGGAACAACTCCCATATAATAATTTTAAGGGAGTCTTTCCCTCTTGAGGGGAGGTGTCTGATTCTATTTTTTTTTAACCAAGATTCAAACCCTCTTTGGCCGCCACTTAAATAAGTTATTTATAAAGTACAGAATTTGTTTCTTTACTTTATCTTTACTTTATCTCCAGATAAGAAAATCAAGGAACAAATAACTATATATAAGATTGTGTGTTCAGTTCAACAAACTTTTTTTTTTCTTTTGTAGAACTGTGTATAGAACCAGGGATACTTTGCCACTGAGCTACATTTCCTGTCTTTTTTTTGGGTGGGGTGGGGTGTGTACTGGGGATTGAACTCASGGACACTCAACCACTGAGTCATAATTCCAGCCCTATTTTGTATTTTATTTAGAGACAGGGTCTCACTGAGTTGCTTAGTGCCTTGTTTTTGCTGAGGCAGGCTTTAAACTAGTACCTCCCAAGCTGCTGGGATTACAAGAGTACTTGGTCCCTGTTCTTTTAATGTTTAATTTTGAGAGAGGGCTTGCTGAGGTTGGCCTTGAAATGACAATCCTCCTATTTCAGCCCCTTCCAAGTAGCTAGGATTACAGGTGTGTACTACTGCATCCAATCAGTTCAACTCACTTTTATAATGTACTTATTAGGCATCAGGAGTTGTGCTAGATGCTGTACATATAAACATTTATAAACTGTGAAAAGCAGTATGACATAAATAGAAGATGCTACTTTTGGGCGGGTTATTAGGGATTGAACCCAGGGCCTTACACATGCTAGGAAAGCACTCTACCACTGAGCTACATCCCTTTTTAAAAATTTTGAGACATGGTCTTGTACAGGTTGACTTGAACTTGCAATCCTCCTGCTTCAGCCTCCCCAAAAGCTGGTATAGGTATCATTTTTGACAACATAAATCACGTAATAATAATAATCCCTTATATTTCCTTAACATTTTCCATATTGATTTGCTAATTATCATACATGAGAAACTAAGGGCCAGATAGATTAAAYGGTTTGCCTGAGGGCACACACTAAGTCGATTCCAATGTTCTCTCTACTACCACACACTGCCTTTCCAGAAAATTCTAGACATCTGGGATTCTACCTAATTCATCCAAGGATAATGTCTTGGATCACATGAGGTTTGGAAGAGTTTCCTTGAATAGAAAGTAAAATTGTATTCCCCAAACCAATTTTCTCCATGACTTTCTTTTCTTTCTCTTTCTTCTTCCCTCCCCTCCTTCCTTCATTCTTTTTAATTATTTTTATTTTGTGGTACTGAGTGTTGAACCACCCAGGGACACTCTACCACTAAGCTACATCCCTATCCCTTTTTTAAAATTTTAAATTATGACAGAGTCTTGCTAAATTGCTGAGACTGGTCTCTAACTTGTGATCCTCCTGCCTCAGCAGGAGTAGTTGGGATAACAGGCATGTGTCACCATGCTCAGCCCGCTCTATGACTTTCATATTTCTTAACTTGTGTATCTACAACTTTAGATGCATTCACATGTTATTTTATAACAACTCTTAGGTCATGTAACTAGTAAATACTGGAGTCAAAGCTGGAATCTTGTTTCTAATGTTTGAGCCCTGTTCATTTCACTATAACAATACTGCTTTGGAGATTATCTGTATAACCTTGAACAAATCACTTAACCTCTGTGACACTCTGTTACCTCATTTGTGAAGTGAATTGTGGAATGCAGATGTGATAATATAAAATAGAAAACTCCAGTAGAAATATCACTTGTGGTTATTGCTGTTAAATGCACCAAAGTGGAATTATTTAAAACAGTATACTCCCTTTTCCTTTGAATAAAAAAACAAAACAAAAAAAAAACATAAAGTGGCCAAGGGAGACTCTCTTAAATAAGGGGAGGCCTGTATGGCTTGCTTTTTAAGGCTGGATCTGGTCAGAGGGGTCTGAGTGGAGTTAGGAGCTCCTGGCAGGCATTTCTGTGGGTGGTTGGTTTGTGGTGGAAAAAGTCTGAAAACCAAAGTGTGCTAATTACAACTGGGTCTTGTTCAGCTGTCCTTCTTAACGTGCCAAATGGGGACTACTATGATAGTGGTAATGGTTGTAGGACTGATAAGAGTTGTGGTTTCCACCACAACTGGATGGTGGTGTGGGAAGCCACCATGCCTAAGAAAGAAAGACCAATTCTGGGTTTTGGGGTAGGCTACAGCTTTACTGCAAGCTTAGCTAAACTGTGAGGGAGGCAGAGTAGTAAGTCAGTCACCTGTCCTCAAGATTTTTCAGTTCAGTGAGTGGCAGAGAAGCCCTCAGTTGTTAAAACAAGACAGAACATAATAAAAGTCACATAAGAGCAATTACRAGGTGGGGTGTGGACTTCTAGAAGGCTTCTTGAGGTAGTTAGCATATAAACTGAGCCTACGATGATGAGAATTTCAAGTAACTGGTTGGTTATTCCTATTGAGAGTGGCAGCATGAGAAAGTAGGATGTGTTATGTTTAATATGGCTTTTATTGAGCTATGTGCTAATAATGTCTGAGAATACAAAAAGATACAAAAAATACAAAACCAGTTATTTTCCACTGGGGAATTCTTAATCTAGGGAGGTAGACAGTCATTAGGGGGATGATGATTTCATACAGTAGAGAAAAAAGGTTAAAAAGGAGAATGTGTAACTTTCATTTGGAGAGAAGATACTTTGCAAAAGAGGTGATACTTGAATTGTGTCCACAGAAGGGAGGAAGTGTTTGCAAGCTGAACTAAGGGCAAGGTTAGGAGTGCTTCAGGCACCAAATAGGTCCTAATGTTTTGTTTTATTTTTCCTCTTGGTGCTGGGGTTGAATTCAGGGCCTTGCACACCTGTTCTTACACTGAGCAACCTTAGCCCTCTGCAGGACTCTCTTACTTAAAAATCTAAGTGGAACAAGCAGCAGGACTATACTCCTTCCTCCTTCTAAAAAGGTTTTAGCTGGAGGAAATAACCTATTTTTTTTTTTTTTGTACTGGGGATTGAACCCAGAGGCCTTAAGCACTGAACCACATCCCGACCCCCCCTTTATATATATATATATGTATATTTTATTAGGGGGTCTCACTGAATTGCTGAGGCTGGCTTTGAACTGGCAATCATCCTGCCTCAGGCTTCCAAGTCGCTGGGATTACAGGTGTGCTCCTTAGCGCTCAACCTTAAAAAGTTATTATTATTTATAATAATAGCACATGGAAAGGCTTTAGAGGCAAACTGAGATACTAATCAAGCTATTTAATCTTTATGTAAGACATTTATTTTGGTCTGTTCCCTTATTTGTGTAATGCATTTCTGTTTCAGTTCCCTCATTCATACAAGTAAAAAACAAAAGCATCTGGTACAGAGCCTGAAGTATATATAGTACTGTCATTATTTATAATTCTTATCTCTTTTAGTCCTCAGAAGCCACATTAACTGTGGGTATACTTTCTCTCATTTTTCTGAAACAGAAGCGCAAAGTAGGTGACCTACCTTAAGTTCACACAGGACAATCTGGTGCCGCCTCTGTAGCCCGTCCGCCCCAAACTTATATCCGCGCCGGGTTTTCCTAGTCGGCCCAGGGCAAACTCTGGTCTGGCAGCACTAACTCCGGCGCCAGGGTTTGCGCGCCGCCGCGGCCTGCTCGGGCCGGCGGGCGGGGCGGGGCCGTGCGGGGCGGGGCGGGGTGAGGAGGGAAGTTGTCGAAGTTCGGGGAGACGCCCGCCCGCCGGCCGGCCCGCCCGCCCGAGCCTCGCCTACGGCCTCTCCCTCCGCCTCCTCCCCGCCCCGAGCCCCAGTCCGCCCGTCCTTCCTTCCCCTCCCGTGCATGATGGAAACACCATGGCTGCGGCAGCCCAGCTCTCCCTGACACAGGTAACGCCGCTTGCCGGTCGCCGGGCTCTGCCGGCCGATGCCCCCGGCCCCCTCCCCCACCGCCCTCAGCTTCGCTGACCCGGGCAGCTGCTCGCGAGTCGCGCGCTAGGCGGCCGGTGCTCCCGAGCGAGAGCGTGTGCGTGACTGAGCCAGGGCGCCATCCCGAGCCAGAGCTCCGCCGTCGCGGCCGCGACCCCGCCCCGAATCGGCCGGCGCCCCTGCCCCGCCCCGCGCGGCCCCCATCCCAGCCCACGGCCCGGTGGACTGTGCCCCGGGCCGCGCTCGCGCGTCCCGCGCTGGCTCAGCTGCGTCAGCTCATACCCACCCAGGAAGTTTCCCCTTCCAGGCCAGACGGCCGCCAGGTGAGCTCCTGTTGAGCTCGCGCGGAGTAGCCTCACCCCCGGTCGCAGGCGGGTCGCCCTCTGGGCCACCGGCGGCAATGCCTTCCCGAGCGGACGCACAGGCCCCCGCTAAGCAGCCTTTGCCCGCTGGAATTCGACGGAAGCCCTCCTTTTCTCCAGTAGTTCTCTCCAGTTAGCCTTGCTTCCCAGTAAGTCGCATCCTACTCAGGTACCTGCCCTGCTCGCCCCTTCCTGAATTCAGGAATTTAGCTCTTTTCCGCTCCTGATCAGGTTAACTTCTGGGTCAGACCCCGGATTCAGTCTTTTTCACCCAAATCTACTTTCACTTCCCCCCCGGCTGGGGGTGGGGAACTCTCACCTAATCGCTTGTCCAAACGGATAACAGAGGAAACCTCTTTTAGCAGGTGTAGCACTTTGGCTAGGGTTGGTGCTGGGAACCACCTAGCAGATCAGTGTGTCCTGGGAGAATCTTCACCAAAACCTGTCCTCAGGGTCTTCTTGCCTTTTATGCTTGTTCTTCACAGAAAAAGTCTAACCGTCATTCACTTAAGGAGCTTGGTTCCTCCCTCTCAGTAAAGAAAGTCAATTATAGCCTTCCCACTATGTCCAGGGTGATGAAGTGCCAGACACCTGTTAGTCCCGTCCAGCTCTAACGACCAAAACTCTCTTCAGCCTCACCTTCTCAGCCTGTTTTCTGTAGAGCTGGTGGCCATGTACTCCCTGATCTGAGCCCCCCTAGCCTTTTTAGCTGTCTTGTGGTATCTCCCTGCCATCTTGTCTCCGTGGCCTAGATTTTTCCGGTGCTTTTAAGGCTTTAACACTGGGATAGGGCATGCATTTGGTCTTTGTGTTAGGATCAAGAGACTTTGTGGTGTTTTGCCTAGCACTCTAGGATAGATAGAGTGAAAGAGTCTTTTTCTTAGAAATAAGAACACACACACATCCCTCAGGTAAAAATAACTTCAGAACTTCAGTTTGCAAGAATTGTGCCTTAGAGGTTTATTTGCTATTGTGTATTCTTTTTGACCAATAAGCAGGGAAGAACCTTTAACATGGAATGTAATGGTTTAGTCTTGGTCCCATGAGTCTATTTTGAAAGGTCCTTCTGAAATTCGAATTTGAGGAATAGAAACATTGACTTTTAGATGTTCACTTTCTACGAGTCTAGTTAGTGACTTGCATTATATGAGGTGCCTGCTGGCAAGCTGTGGATTTCTGGCTCTGCTGGCAAATTCTGGCAGGAATTTTCCTCTCTTGAAAATTTTGTTCTCTTGAAAGCTTCTGTAAAATTGTTTCTAAGTTGTGTGCATATTTTATTTTCTCCCTGGCTAATACTGTGTTTTTAGTTTTTGTTTACTATCATTGCTTCAGGCTCTGTCCGTTTTTTAGTTGCTTAAATAATTTACATATGTTCTTGTGGTTATATATATTTAGGTATTAACATGTACCCAAGAGTAAATACAGAATCAGTAGTATTAATCTTCAGTGTCTTATATTTAAGAGAATATACAATGGCGGTTAATTATTGATAATTTAAATAAATCAATTTAGAATATTTTGATCTTAAGACACTAAGAATCTATACAGTTATAAAGGCACAGGAAAAAAAGAACCTTCCCAGTTAATATTTCCTATTGTGCCTCCTCATTATTTCCATATTTAGCACATTTGTGGTTTTTAAATTTAATTTTAATTTTTAAAAATTAAGTTAATTTTTTAAAACTGCTTGAGTCTAATAAACTCAGATAACAGTGCAACCTGGTTTTACATTCAATATTGATTTGTTTCTATTACCTTCTATTTCTCCTCCCCACTCTACCAACACACACTTAGACAGCCATACTCAAATGTGAGATTCCTCAGGGTAGYGACATCTTTTGTATTTTTAATTTTTGTTATTTATGGTGGTCTTGCTCTATGGTCCAGGCTGGCCTGGAACCCTTGGGCTTCAGCAGTCCTCCTGACTCAGCCTTCCAAGTAGGTGGGATTATAGATGTGTACCACCTGATAGGCAAGGAACGACTCTTAATTCATTTCTCTCCGGAGCAGAGTGATGAATAASTATTATATGAATTACTGAAAATTCTAAAGGGTTTTATAATAATTATGAAGATTAAACAGATGCTGAAGTTAGTTTGTGCTTTTGGTCATGAGGTGATGATGGTTTTGGAGCAGGTTTATTTACTACATTCAACAAATATTTTCAAAGTATCTATTATGTAGTAAAGGCACTGTGTTGGGATTATATTTATAATTTTTTGGCTTTTATCAATCGAACAAAACTGACAGTTTGGGGGAGAAGATAAAAAATGTTTTAGTTTATGCTTTCCTTCCTCTGCCCACCAACCAGTTCTCCTACTCCACCCCCTGCCAAAATAAATGATCAATATGATTTTATTCTGGCTGATTAGAGTTGATTAGATATTAGGTTAATGACGCATTAGTTCCAAAACCAGCTTTTTTTTTTTTTTTTTTGGCACCAGGGATTGAACCCAGGGGTGCTTAACCACCAAGCCACACCCCAGCCCTTTTTTGTATTTCATTGGGTCTCCGTGAGTCAAGGCCTTGCTAAGTTGCTGAGGCTGGGTTTGAACTCACCATCCTTCTGCCTTAGCCTCTGAGTCACTGGGATTAAGGGCATCAAAACCAGCTTTTATAACAGTTAACTGTATGGCATTGGGCTATGTCTCAGTTTTCTTTTTGTCAATGTTGGGGATCCAACATTGCTAGGTAAGCATTCTACCACTGAACTATATCCCCAGCTCCTCAGTTTTCTTAACTTTAAAATTTATTTTAAAGTTTTATTTTTATTTTTTGCTTATGGTGGTAGATTACAAAAAAGATCTGTAATACTTTCTTTTTGAACTTTTCCACTTGCTTATTTCTTCTTCTAATATCTGTATTCCTAATAATAATATTACTGTTAGTGTCTTTTTGCCTGTTACTGTTTGCTAGGAATTTTACTTCACTTCATCTAACAATTCATTTTATAAATGAGGAAAGTAATTTACATAAGCTAGTAATTGATAGATATGAAATTTGAATCGAGATCTGTAGTACTTAATGCTTTCTCTTTTGTTTTATTTCTTTGTGTACTAGATGCTTAACATATGCAATGCTCTCTTGTATTTTTTCAGTGTATGCTCTTTTTTTTCCTCTTTTGTTTCAGGGAATTGAACCAAGGGGTACTCTACCATTGAGCTACATTCTCAGCCCTTTTTATTTTTTATTTATTTTGAGACAAGGTCTTGCTAAGTTTCTTAGGGCCTTGCTAAAAGTTGCTAAGGCTGGCCTGGAACTTGGGATCCTCCTGCTTCAGCTTCCTGAGTCACTGGAAATACAGGTGTGTGCCATCATGCCTGTCTCCTTTAGTGGTATCTTGATAGAATTGTGGGTGTGCAGTTAGTGCTCTTGATTATGAAATAGGGTTTTTTTTTTAAATAGTTTAAAAAGTTCTTAAATTGAAACTTAATAAAAACTCCTAGTGTATGATCTAAAAACAATAAATGTTATAAGAATGCTCTTCCTTTTAGTGCTTTTTAAAAACATTGCAAGAGTGATATAACTGTATTGGAGGGAAATTGGAGGGAAAACATCTCCCATAATTTCAGTTTCTGGTGTTTATTTTTAATTTAATTAAAAAATACACTGTGCTGATTAACTTCACCTTAGTGGTCTGTTTTAACAATTATGATAGTAAGTACAGGGCAGAGTTTGAAAATTACAACGTGCTCTGAAGCAGAAAAGTAATATTTTATTCAACATGACAGATATTTGAGTTTCCACAATGGAAAAGGCACATTAATGATATTTTTCATTTTTGCCTGTACTTATAGTTTATTCAGGAAGTCTCTGCTTCCTTGAGAGATATCTAACCATTCTGAAAAATGGCTTGGAATGTTCAGCACTTGGGAGTGGTTGCCATAGTTAAATTAATTAGGAACAGTTGGGTTTGTCCAGTAGAAAGTCTCCCAGGAGTCATCTGAGAGTACATTCCTTCATATTTTACTTTATTTGCAGATAGAATGCTAGTAAAAGACTAACATGTGGTAGAAAAAGATCAAACATCCTTAGCAATGAATTATAGTTCTGAATCTCTSCTCTCTAGTAGTCTTATAAGGGCTCAATTTACTTGCTTTTCAAGGTAACATAAAAACACTTAATATACTTCTTTGGGAGTTTTGGGCTTAATTAAATTATAACCCCAGAAATCAAAAAAGAAAATGGTCTGATGGAGAGATCTAGTAACTTGGAGAATTAGTAGTATAATAAATGAAAAGGTAGAGTTTATTAGACAAAGCTCTATGCTGGAATTTCACTTTAAAGCACTTGAACCCTCATCTACAAGATAAACCTTCATTAAAAATTATGTCTGTTAGGGAACTTTTAATAGTTTAAGGAATGTTGGTAAATGAATGCTGTATTACAGTAAACAGGAAAAATTTTATGTAGACAAATGATGTAATCCAGTTAAGGGTGCATAGAAGAGACTGAAAGGAAAACACTTAAGATTTTATAGTAGTATGGTAATTGTATTTATTTACCTTGTTTTCAAYAGCATGTATTCTTTCTCTAATCAACTGATTTAGCATTTCTGTGTGACAACGTTTTTGAAATTTTACTCATTTAAATTGAAAT